GAAGGAAGGAAGGAAGGAAGGAAGGAAGGAAGGAAGAAAAGAAACACAGGTTTCCCTCTGCATGCATTCTGCTCTACCCTGTGGTACTAAGCTGTGACTAACTCAACTGCAGTTTGTACCTCTGGGTTCTCGACTTTGAGTCAGACTCTTGATGCTATCACGGGGCATCAGTGGTGTCTGTGTGCGTGTGTGCCTGTGTGTGTGTGTGTGTGTGTGTGTGTGTGTGTGTGTGTGTGTGTGTGTGTGTGCACGCATGTCTGCATGCAGGTGTGTGCTCTCACAGGACACATGCTTTGGCAGGCATGCGTGTGTACATGTTTGCATGTGCAAGTGGAAGTCAAAGATGAACACAAAGCGTCTTCCCCTGTCATCTCCACTTGCTGTTTTGAGACAGAGTCCCCATTCGGTAGAGCAGCTGATGAGGACGTTCCAGGGATCTCCCTCTTTCTGCCCCCCCCCCAGCACTGGGATTGCAGGGCTGCACCGCCATTCCTTTCTTCTGTGGATGCTGGGGATCTGAACGCGCATCACCAGGCTAACACAGCAGGCACGGTCCTGACTGATCATCTTCCCAGACTCACATCGGCATTGTCAAAACTCCTCCTGGTTCTGCTGCACAGCCAGCGTGTGGCAAGCCAGTGTGGGAATAAACTCAAGCCCCAGGAGGAGGCTTGCAGTGGCGTCAGCGGAGACCAGGTATATTCCTTTCTTACACCGTTGGAGTCGATTTCCACAAACTAGGAAGCGTCCACAAGAGACATTTGTTCTCTCGCAGTTCTGGGGACCCAGGGTCTGAAATCCAAGCATTGGCAAGGATAGTACGTGTCAACAATCTGCAGTCCTGTGGTAACCTTGTCCCTTCCAGCTGCTGGTAGCTGCTGACAGTCCTTGGTGTCTGTCTCTGACTTGAGTGTACCATGTTGTAATTTCTGAAACGGTCAGCAAGCATTTTCCTTCTTCATTTCTGTCCCTGCCCTGAGTCTATCTCTTCCAAGGACACCAGTTGTGGGGTAATGAGCCAACTGGAATAGTCCAGGATGCTCCCAGCTTGAGATGATTATACCCACAAAATGTTTTTTTCTTCAAACTGGACCACATTTGCAGGGTCCGAGACTTGCATATTTTTGAGGGTGGTAAGTCAATTCTGGACACCACTGACAAAGAAATTTGACTATACTAGAATCATCATGCCTAAGAGTTGGAAAGGCCTAAAGACTTTCTGAACCCTATTATTCCATCTGTCTGTCTACTGATGTCCACTCCAGGCCACCATTGGAAGCCTGGGGACTTTAGTTTGTGTTCTGTGCAGTGGTGATGCTCTGTAGATGTCAGAATCAAATTTCTAGGCCCCTGAAACTGGTGGACTTTCAACACTTCCCGTCTCAGACTGTTCCGTCTCCTTTTCATGGCAGCCCCTGCCATGTAACCCATGTAATCTGACAGCCCAGAGTCACTTCCCTGGCCCTGGTCTGAACTGTGAACCTCAGACCCAGCTTTCGCCCACACCAGTCCTGTCTAAGGTTTAGAGGCCGTCAAAGCAAAATTATGCTGTCCCATCTCATCTGCCCTCCTCTGGAATCAGGACCAGACTCCACCACAGTCCTGGAATCTTTGATTCCTCTCTTTCCTCCTTCCCTGTCAATGCTTGCTAACGCACTTCTGGTGAAGTCAAACATCTCTCCACGCGCTACTCATAGAACAGCCAGCGGAGCACAACCCATGTTCCTGGCCTGCATCAGGATGAATACAGCACGGACAGAGAGTGGGAAGCAGCGTTTAGAGACTTGGCATTGCTCCATGCTCCGGTACATGATCAGTCAGGTGCAAGCGTCATATGCACAAAGACCATGTGCGTCTTGATTTCGTGTTGGCCTTCAAACTATGTTTCAGAACTTCTGTGCCGTAGATAGTTTGGGAAGAACTAGACTAAAAGGTTCCGCCGGCTCTGTCCACCGCCTGCCTCTCCCCTCCTCTGCAGTGCTGCAGTCGCTGGGACACAAACAGGCCCATTCATCTCCATCCCGGCCATTGTGCTGCCTTTCCTCCTGCCGGGATTGCGCTCTCCTGGCTTCTGTCCCTCGAGTGTCAGCTCCTGAGAGGAGCTGTCCTTTGCCGTTTGCTTTGGCAGCTTCTCAACCTGGGCACCTTGCTCTCACATGCATGGTTTCATTTTCTCCGTAGAACCCATCTACTCGCTCGCTGTTATCCGGGCGTACAGAAGAGGAAGTGGAGGCAGCGAGAGCTCGGTTAACAAGGCAGTAGGAAAACCGTGTTTCTCTCTTTCGAGGTCCTGATCTTCTCAGTAGGCTGTGTTGCTACCTTTATCTTCCCTGAGGAATTTGGGGCAATCCCTCAAAATAAGGAAAAGAAGGAAGCATAACTCTTTTTAAGATTTTACTTTTATATGTATGTGTGTGAGCCTATGTGGGTGTGGATTGTGTAAGCCTATGTGGAGGTGTACGTGTGTGAGCCTATGTGAATGTGTGTAAGCCTATGTGGATGTGTGTGAGCCTACGTGGATGTATATGTGTGTGAGTCTATGTGGATGTGGATTGTGTGGGCCTATGTGGATGTGTGTGAGCCTACGTGGATGTATATGCGTGTGAGCCTATGTGGGTGTGGATGTGTGTGAG